CCCCTCTTCCACCGACTACTGCTCTCTCCCTCTCCGAAGGATTTGAAAATCATTACCTGGCGATATTTTGTTGTTGCTGTAACTGACATTGACATCCCTGTCCATCCGGACTAAAATGGGGAGCAGGAATTGTAATAGGTAGTGAATGGGGCTAGTGTAATATTTACCACATCATCATTCAAGTACCAGTACAACCACTACCACGACCACCACCACAGTAGCTAAAATAATGTCACTGCTATCTGTGTTACCATCGGAGTAGACAGAGAGTCGTGAGCCAGAAGATTTAGTTCCGCATGGCTAGTGCTGTCGCCACAGACTGGTCAGGTTAGGATGTATAATTTCACTTGCCGACAGAAGAACGCCATAACCTTACCGGCGGTCTTCACGTGAGAGCACTATGGTGTAACAGCCCAACCACAACTATTACTGCTGCTGCTACTTTAAGTGGGTAAAGCAGTTACTGTGACTTAAAGCTTTCTCAGTTAATAGTTTGCTTTCCCCCCCCCCCCCCCCCCCCTCAAATACACCGACAACTCTTTCCCTCATTGCGGCCCCCGACAAGAGCCAAAGTAGGGCTTCAAATAACAAAAAAATTCATCCTGAACAGGACGGGGAGTAATCAATCACTACTTGCGGGAGTCCAATTTAAGCTATTTATAGCTACAAACATCAACAATGAAGACAGGGGTCGACGTCACATGGACACAAATATAAGCGTATGACTTTCTACGCCTGTTAAAGAACAGGATAGCAGAACACAGGAGGCACCTGACAATGATCAAAAGTATGTTCTCTAGTCTCCAGGTCTCTAACCTACGCATACGAGTGCTAATCAATACTTACTTATTTATATGTTATGCTTTTTTCACCCACTACGTTAAAAATTTTCTCCTTATGGCTGACAATAAAATAAAAAACATCGGAACTGAGATATAAGCTGCAGTGAAGCAACAAGACGGAGACGCTGGCTGGATGTTAGTGCTGACGGCTGAGAGAAGATGGCCAACGGCGGGGTCGCAGCAGGGGTAGCCGACTCCTCTGTCGTCATGGACTAGTCAATCGGCAAGCCGTGATATGTAAGCAGATGCGGTTCTTAATTTATAACGTACCCCAAACACGAAATCCCCGTGGGAAATCCACAGCTGACCTGACAGTCCATTATTTCAAGGGGTGGAAGTGTGCTGATGTGTGGTGCTTTTTTGAGTTTTCATCTAGTGTCTTCTAATGTTAACCCTAACCCTAACCCTAAACTTGGCTGTAGATAAATCGCGAGAAACTACAACCTGAACACCCTAGAATTTATTGGGAATGTCTCCCGTGACGTTGTCGTGACGTCAGGGGTAAGTTATAAATTAAGTACCGCAGATGCCAGGGGTTCTACGTCATACTGTCTGACCTACAAACTGTTATTTGTCTGACTGCTCCTAGCTGGCTGGTGAGCAGATAAGTCTGTCTACAACTGACCTCAAGTGGACTAGTAGGCAGTCACCCGGCATCAAGTGTCAAATCCGGCCTACTAACAGACGTTCTGGAACGATCGAGAAAACTTCTCTAATTACAAAATTGAAGGCTGTTGGGAGGAGAGAGGGGAGGAGGTAATTAAAAGGAAAAATAAGTGTGTGAGTGTGTGAGTGTGTGTGTGTGTGTGTTACCTGTAATCCAGGTGTTGTGCCTCCTTAAACAAAGGTAACTCAGAAACACATTTTTTTCCGATTCGTAATGCGGGGATGCCGGGTCCGATCCCAGCTGCGGGCCATGCGCCTTACTTTGGTGTCGATAGTTGTATCAAGAAAGCCGACCGTCCAGAGGCAATGGCAAACTACTGAACGTAAATTTGCCTAGAAAAACCACACAACAGTCAGGAGCTGTTGGGGTTGGTTCTGCGACGTCATGTACAGGATACGCAACTAACCTTAACAGTTTCCCCTTTATTTCCATCTTGTTTATGTTGCGAGTATAGTATTTTAGGTGTGTTGCTGTAGAAACAAAATGCAACACATAAAAATGTATGAGGGACAGAAAAGAAAAGACAAAACACGAGAGGGGAGATGGAAAAGTCGGGGGGGCGGGGGGGGGGGGGGGGGAAACCACGTATAACTTTTTGTTAAGTTTCAGTTTCCAAATGATTTTCTTCCCCACTAGGACATCACACAAGCGATAAACACCCGATGACACAATGTGCCACCATGTGGGTGAGGATCACCCGTGGAGAGGTCCCAGAAACCGCGTTCAGCCTTTAGGCCAAATTTATGGCCAGGCTATATTGCGGCCCCTGGCATGAGCCAGAGTAGGGCTTCAAATAACGAAAAATTTCGTCCTTAACAGGAGAGGATATATAAACGATGATTCCAAATGTAAATCCATTTTGTCTTATGTCTTGCAAGTAGTTTCCGATTGTTTAACGTTCTCTGGTGAGACTGATTCGGACGCAAGTCACAGAAACTCCCTTCAATCAACCGTTAGGTATAATTTGGGTCCCCTGCAACATCCGGAGTGGGGCTCCACGTGGAGAATTAGAAGCTGGTTTTTCTGGATCGTGCCCAGACTAACTTCAGTTATGTCATGTGCCCTTTAACCGGGAGGGGGGGGGGGGGGGGGAGAATGTGTTTGCCAGTCGCCGGGTCTGACCTGAGCAAGGTCTCGCTGTGACTCGACTGTATAATCAAACGAAACCATCCCAATATGCGACGGACGCAATATTTGTTATTTTAAAGCCCCACTCCGGCTGTTGCAGGGGGCCCAAAAAAATACCTAACGGTTGAAGGGGGTTTCTGTGACTTGCGTCCGAATCAATCTCATCAGAATGTTGGCACTTTGTGTCAGCGGGTGCTTATCGCTCGTTGTGCAGTCGTGGTGGGGTTGAACATGGCTCATTCGGACTCGATTCTCTTCCCTGTCCAATACAAGCCAGACAATCTCTACCGTGTTCACGTTTCTCAGTTTGGTTATTTTGTATCTGCAAGTAAGAGGTCATTCTTACTGACCAAGACCGGCTTCAGCTGACGGGCTATGCTGCTGGCGTCACCAAACCGGGCTAACAATACGATAACGTAGCCTTTCTCGTCGGACACAAAATATATGTCGCGGCACACACACACACCCTTAAAGCGGGTTGAATACTTAAGAAAAAAAGACAAACCCAGTGCAAATTTTATGTCAAGCAAATTTTGAAAAATTCTTGATTATTGCCGCGGCACCCCTGAAATACTCTCGCGGCACCCAGTTTGAGAACGCTGCGTTAACGTATCGTTAGCCCGGCTAGGAGACGTCAGCAGCATGACCCGCCAGCTGTAGCCGGTTTTGTACAGACTGAAGTTGACAAACAGTTAAATGATCGACTTCAATGAGCCCGGTCTGATCCCAAAAGGTTAGGGCTCTTTACCACGCAGTGGCCGGTCGCCGACAATGAGAGCTGAACAAAACACTATGATAATGATGATAACGACAATGAAAATCAGAACGACGACAATGGTGATGACGAAAACAACTGGAACAGTCCCTGGTCCATAAATGATATCTTTCACTGTGCAGGATTACGTCCATCCAACATAATTCTCCGCTGATAGCACAAGGAGAATCTCCGCATGAAGTCAGAAATGTGTAGCACCGATCTCACTCTGTACAACCACAGAGTCTAGAAGTCAGAAATGTGTAGCACCGATCTCACTCTGTACAACCACAGAGTCTAGAAGTCAGAAATGTGTAGCACTGATCTAACTCTGTACAACCACAGAGACAAGAAGTCAGAAATGTGTAGCACTGATCTAACTCTGTACAACCACAGAGTCAAGAAGTCAGAAATGTGTAGCACTGATCTAACTCTGTACAACCACAGAGTCAAGAAGTCAGAAACGTGTTGCACTGATCTAACTCTGTACAACCACAGAGTCAAGAAGTCAGAAATGTGTAGCACTGATCTAGCTCTGTACAACCACAGAGTCAAGAAGTCAGAAATGTGTAGCACTGATCTAACTCTGTACAACCACAGAGTCAAGAAGTCAGAAATGTGTAGCACTGATCTAGCTCTGTACAACCACAGAGTCAAGAAGTCAGAAATGTGTAGCACTGATCTAACTCTGTACAACCACAGAGTCAAGAAGTCAGAAATGTGTAGCACTGATCTAACTCTGTACAACCACAGAGTCAAGAAGTCAGAAATGTGTAGCACTGATCTAGCTCTGTACAACCACAGAGTCAAGAAGTCAAAAATGTGTAGCACTGATCTAACTCTGTACAACCACAGAGTCAAGAAGTCAGAAACGTGTAGCACTGATCTAACTCTGTACAACCACAGAGTCAAGAAGTCAAAAATGTGTAGCACTGATCTAGCTCTGTACAACCACAGAGTCAAGAAGTCAGAAATGTGTAGCACTGATCTAGCTCTGTACAACCACAGAGTCAAGAAGTCAGAAATGTGTAGCACTGATCTAACTCTGTACAACCACAGAGTCAATCATTACGAAGTAAAGGACCCTATTCCGTGCCTTCGGGCTATTCCAATCGACACTCGGTGGGTGATGTGGCATGACGCCGATCGCTTTTACTTCGCAGGACTTTATGTGCTACCGATGTAAGGCAAGGTCGACCTGAAAGCAAAGGTTATTTCTGACGGGGACCAAAAAAAAAAAAAAAAAAACACTAACTGGCTCTGTAATCAGCCATACTGCCAAAAAAAATGGTATGTGTAAAAGAAGTCCGTCATAGAGTTCAATAATGAACTCAGGACGGAAAGATGTAGAGGGGCCTTTATCACTAACAGTAACAATAAGAAAGAAAGAAAGAAAGAAAGAAAGAAGAAAGAAAGAAAGAAAGAAAGAAAGAAAGAAAGAAAGAAAGAAAGAAAGAAAGAAAGAAAGAAAGAAAGAAACAAACAAACAAACAAACAAAAAAACAAAGAAACAAACAAACAAACAAAGAAACTCAGCAACAAAAAAGACCCAGAAAACAAGAAGAGGAACACACAAGTGAAGGTCACAAAAACAGCCACCAGAACTGACCTCATCAAACAAGAGTGTCCCATCCTTGCCGGCAGCTCTCATCAGCTCGTCGATGCCCCCCGGGTGGTACTCCATATATGGGGTCATGTTGTACACCTTGCCTGAGGGGCGAGGTCAAAGGTTACTTAAGAAACGCCCTAGGTTATCTCAACCTTGCTGGCGTTATCTCAATATTATTTTCAACAAACTGAGCAATATAATCACATACAGAAATAGCTAGGGATTGCGAGGGATTGTGAAACAGTTAAGCGAAGAATTAGGTCGCGCCTGTTCCTTGATCTTCCTTTTCTTGGCATTCACTGGCTGTAAACAACTGCGGAAAGTTCAGGCTGTTCGTCCATTCCTTTTCATTTTTACCAGTTAAAAACTCCGGTGGAAAGTTTTGTTTGTTTCTCCACTTCTGTAGTCCTGTTCCAGCACTTCAGTGTTGCCCGCGCATCCATTTTACAGGTCGGACTCATTTGTATGTAGGCTTCTGACTGCCCGCCTCTCAGGCAGATCCACTCCGACTTCGAAGGAAGCACCCAATTAGTCGACTCTTACGACATGCTTTTGGCGAACAGTGGGTCAACTGTTTTCTAAGCCCAAAATGGGACCACAGAACCCACATGGGGGTATGTTTCGCGCTCCAGATATCGTCCAAAAATTAGTCATGAAATGTATGAACACTGGTTGCAATTCAGGTTTGTCTTTTTCAAGAAGTTCTTAGAAAATCAAAGAGGCGTGGGAACAGAACACACAAGTCGGGGTACTGACAGATGTATGTGTCTCTAGATTGCTCACAAAAACCTTCAGGAAGACAGGAAAAACTAGTCTGTGACAAACAAATGGAAAAGGCGGAAGAAGGAAAAAAGATTTGAACTAGTTTTGGACCAGCCAAGAAGCAGAGGAAGACAGAGAAAGATGTAAATGTAAAGTCGTATAAAAATAATACTTTAACCAATATCTTCTACTTTTTCGTCTTCTTCGCTTTCTGTGGCTGTAAACTATGTCAGACTGAAGGGTTTTGGTTGTTCGTCCACTTCTAGGCTTCATCCTTGTTCCAGAACTTGAGTTTTAAGTGCACATCCATTTTAACAGATTTGGTTTTGTTGTAAGCAGACTGTTAGTTCCTCGCCTTTCAAGCAGATGCACTCCGACTTCGAAGAAAACACCCCTAAAAAGTCGACTTTTACGACATGCTTCAATGCTTTCCGGGAACGCACACGGGAACAGCAATGCTAATTTTCAGGAAATATCAAATGACCAACGATAGTGACAATGCACAGCACGATGAGGGCAGAGGATGTGGAGGGAAGAGGAGGGCATTAGGGGGAAGATGAGAAAGAAGAGGGAAGCAGAAAGATGGGAGCAGGAGGATAGAAGCGGGAGGAAGAGGAGGAGGGAAGCAGGAGGTTGGAAGCAGGCGGAAGAGGAGGAGGGAAGCAGAAGATTGGGAGCAGGAGGATGTCAGGAGGAGGAAGAGGAGAAGGGAAGCAGGACGATGGGAGCAGGAGGGTGGGGAGCAGAAGATTGGGAGCAGGAGGATGTCAGGAGGAGGATGAGGAGAAGGGAAGCAGGACGATGGGAGCAGGAGGGTGGGAGCAGGAGGGTGGGAGCAGGAGGGTGGGAGCAGGAGGGTGGGAGCAGGAGGGTGGGAGCAGGAGGAAGAGAGGAGAAGATGTGAGGAGGAGGGAAGTAGGAGGATGGGAGCAGAAGGGTGGGAGCAGGAGGAAGAGTAGGAGAATGAGAAGGGAAGCAGGAGGATGGGAGCAGGAGAATGGGAGCCGAAGCAAGAGGAGGAGAAGGAGAAGGGAAGCAGGGGGATGGGAGCAAGAGACAGAGGAGGAGAAGGGAAGAAGAAGAAGAAGAAGAAGAAGAAGCAGAAGAAGAAGAAGAAGAAGAAGAAGAAGAAGAAGAAGAAGAAGAAGAAGAAGAAGAAGAAAAAGAAGAAGGAAGAAGAGAAGAAGGAGGAGGAAAAGATCGTCAATAAACACCAAGCTTTCACCCAAGCCGTCCGTTGTGCATCGTGGGAACCGTTTATCTTACATGTAGCATTTCCGCTGGCAGTCCACACAGTCAGTTGTAGCCAGAAAGCCGCCAGCTAAAACAGTAGCTGCAAGGCTCTCCCGTGTTTAACGTTTTAAAGAGGAGACAGTCGACTTCACTGCACCCAGTCTTATCCCATACGGCTGGTTTTTTTAACTGAGAAGATTCGCAGGCTTAAGCATCAACTCCGTAGCTCCAGCAATGATCCCGAACCAGGGAATAGTAACAACTCTCTGGTACCAAATCGACAATTTACAAACCAACGACCGCAAAGAAGGAGTAACTCACCTCGCAAAGCCATCCATAAATCCTTCTGGGTGTTATGAACAGCCAACTCGCCTGCAGTAACATTGATCTTGTTCGAGCCCACACCACTGAGATCTCCACGTGTGCGACCCAAACGGATCCAATCCATCAATGAGTGACCCGGAGCCAGTGTGATCCTCTTTCGCCCGGTGAAGGAATCACTCAGTATGGGACTAGGCTCCCTGGGGGGCCGAAGTCGGTTCATGACGCCGGAGCAGCAACCCTCACTCGGGCCGTTAGTTTTCGTCTGGCTGCACCCCAGTTTGACGGATCCTCTGAGGATGAAAAGGAATAAAACATAGTTACCTAACCGAAACGGCAGCACTCTAACGATCATCAACTTAATTACAATAACGTGTTGGCTATTGAATAAACAGAATGGCATTTAGAGATTTCGTTTTCCTCGTTCGTGTACCGAGAATGGTTGTTAACTTGTGTCCGCTTAAAGAGGAAAACAGTCACACAAGTGACACATCTAACTTCGTCTTGGCAGTTGCTCGGATTTGGCGTACCCTTTAAAAAAGAATATAGTCATAGATGATTAGCAGCCGACACAACAGCAGCAAACCAAGAGGAAAACTTAGGTCTGCAGACAGATTTTATCCTACAATCGGATATACAACATGTCCTGCCTTTCACGGATCCCTCTTAGATACGTTTTCACTACAGCCTGCCCTTTAGTAAAAATGACGAACAGGGCATTGGCGACTGCTAAAAAAAAAAAAAAAATAACTAGTTTTGATAATAAACAAAGTGGACACAGGATTACGATCTGACATAAGGACACAGCAAACAACAGTCCAAAACGGGAACCTGGAGAAGTGTGTGGCGACAGTCAACAGGTGGCATCATGTATTGAGAGGATCTTAAGTGGACTATTTAACATACACACCCTTCAATATCTTCTGAGGGAGACTGGACACCTGTGGTCTTGGTCTGAGTGCAGTAACATCGATCCTGTAATAATAAAACAAGATTACTCTTACTGATATCATCATCCTAATCGCCATCTGCCCATAGGACATGCTTCATACGTCTACGATCAACAGAAACGGCAACTAGAAATGTTCCAATGAGCTGATTAGAGTCTTCGGGTCTATGCAAACAATAAAATTACACTGCGCCATGCAGAGGAACAAGAATCATCGCACATGATGATGATGGCGGGCGCGACGAACCAAACCACTGGAAATAGCTTATGACTATGACGAGAGTGACCAGCAAGACCACGGGATATAGCCCATGACTATGACGAGAGTGACCAGCAAGACCACGGGAAACAGCGCATGACAATGTCGAAAGTGACCATCAAGACCACGGGAAACAGCACATGACAATGTCGAAAGTGACCATCAAGACCACGGGAAACAGCACATGACAATGTCGAAAGTGACCATCAAGACCACGGGAAACAGCACATGACAATGTCGAAAGTGGCCAGCAAGACCACGGGAAACTGCCCATGACAATGTCAAAAGTGGCCAGCAAGACCCCGGGATATAGCCTATGACTATGACGAGAGTGACCATCAAGACCACGGGAAATAGCCCATGACAATGTCGAAAGTGACCATCAAGACCACGGGAAACGGCCCATGGCGATGACGAGAGTGACCAGCAAGACCACGGGATATAGCCCATGACAGTGACGAAAGTAACCATCAAGACCACGGGAAACGGCCCATGGCGATGACGAGAGTGACCAGCAAGACCACGGGATATAGCCTATGACTATGACGAGAGTGACCAGCAAGACCACGGGAAATAGCCTATGACTATGACGAGAGTGACCAGCAAGACCACGGGAAATAGCCTATGACTATGACGAGAGTGACCATCAAGACCACGGGATATAGCCTATGACTATGACGAGAGTGACCAGCAAGACCACGGAATATAGCCTATGACTATGACGAGAGTGACCAGCAAGACCACGGGATATAGCCCATGACAATGTCGAAAGTGACCATCAAGACCACGGGAGACAGCACATGACAATGTCGAAAGTGACCAGCAAGACCACGGGAAATAGACCATGACAATGTCGAAAGTGGCCAGCAAGACCACGGGAAACTGCCCATGACAATGTCAAAAGTGACCAGCAAGACCACGGGATATAGCCCATGACTATGACGAGAGTGACCAGCAAGACCACGGGAAACAGCACATGACAATGTCGAAAGTGACCAGCAAGACCACGGGAAACTGCCCATGACAATGTCGAAAGTGACCTGCAAGACCACGGGAAAACAGCCCATGGCGATAGCGAGAGTGTCGCCAGACGTTTCGAGAGGACCAAATTACCAAACAAAACATGATGCCAAGCACTATTCCATTCAACCTATACAATTTCCACTTGTTATATTACAAGGCAGGGTAGATACATTTTACAGTCACTCAGGACATACTGTTCACAGGCACAAACCGGTGGCATCATCGTGAGGGGAATCCACTCTAAGTTATATTTGTTTTTGTATCTGACATCACAGCATAAACTAATCCAAGTTTTGCAAAAACCGGCTCTCTGGTAATAAGTTACCCCCCCCCCCCCCTTTTTTTTTTTTCCCTCCCCGATGACGTCACGGACATTCCAATATTTTACAGGGTGGTAAGACCGAGTTTCCAAGCTTTGTGGTGCTTTTAACTAACCCAAAACATATGTAACAGGACCTAACCCTAACCCACCTACGTCCCATGAGAGACTGCAGCCCAGGTCCCACGACTGCATCCAGCCTATCTACCACCCCCTGAAATATTGAACTGTCTGTTTGGGGTAAATAAAAACGAAAGCAGCTAAAAACCTAATCCCTGATATTTTTTTTTAAAGACACACCCACCCTTGCTACTAAAAACACCTCAGGTAGCCCTTTAAACAAAGGCTGAGAGAAGGGGAGCTAGTTCTGTGTGGGGAGGGGGGGGGGGGGAGAGAGACATTACACACAGTCCAGAAGACACAAACATGCCAGCCAAAGACCAGACCAGACGTGCTTCCCGGTCTAAGCAAAAATAGTTTACATTTCTGGATGCAGTCTGGGCCTAATGCTGAGGTCTAGAGGCCACGTTAATCCGCCATCTCCCGGTGAAGAGCAAACATATTATAAACAATCATTTTATCCCGTCAAGAGGAGCACAGACAATAGCACAGGTGGCCACGACACAGTCTTAGTTTGCAATCATTCTAATTTTGTTTCCATACTTAGGTTCTTTGACATTTTACTGATAGTACTTGTGAACTCTGTTGCGGTGTTCTACTTCTACATTCGTGATATTTTGTCCCTGTAAGTTTTAGTACATACTGTGTTAGAAGAAACAGAACTTGTTGTGACTACCGGAAAGATCTGGGGAAAGAGGGATAGAGGAAGACAACGAGAGAAGATTCTTGACAGTCTTGTTGCATGGCATGGAGGTGTGAAAGCAAACGAACTGATTCATGCTGCAGGAGATCGCAGATTGTGGCGAGGCATGATCGCCCACGCCAGTTGGCAAGGCACCTGATGATGATGATGATAATGTTAGACGATAAACATATATACATATAAGATGATTTTTCAGCAATGGAATAATTAAATTTTATACTGGATTATACGATTAATGTTTGAGCAATGACTGCTGCATGCAGAAAGGATTGCCACAGAATCCATGTGGGTGAATTTAGGTATTCTACTAAGTGTACAGGTTGAGATTAGCCACTAGAGGGATTCTAAAGCAAATATCACTGCATCATTTGAATGTGTTAGTTTACTATGATCATGTATGACAGAAAATGGAGCTCATTTCATCTGGGCCACACACGAGTCAGAGGGGGAAGATGATGTTAGGACAACTATGTGAGACACATGAAAAAATTGGGACAATGAGAGAAGAGAGTTGCGGATGTATACTGTACTATATACACATCTAAAGAAACATTCGTTTTGATTTGTCGCTGAAGAAGCGAGAGAAGACTTGCTGATGCCAAGAACAGAATCCCTGTTGCCCGAGAGCAGACTGCTGATGCCAAGAACAGAATCCCTGTTGCCCGAGAGCAGACTGCTGATACCAAGAACAGAATCCCTGTTGCCCGAGAGAAAACTGCTGATGCCAAGAATAGAATCCCTGTTGCCCGAGAGAAGACTTACTGATGCCAAGAACAGAATCCCTGTTGCGCAAGAGCAGACTGCTGATGCCAAGAACAGAATCCCTGTTGCCCGAGAGAAGACTTGCTGATGCCAAAGACACTGTCCGACTAGATGAGGACGAGAATGTGGAGCCCATGAAGAAAAATCTCCTATGTCAAACGTGGGAGGGGACATGTAAACAATACGCCAGCCTGTAGTTAAACGCTACCTTAGTACCGACTATGTGTTTCTGCTATCCTTTATGAGATTCGTTGTTCTCTAGTGCAGAGCTAACATATTTATCGGGATCACCACAGTACGAATCTGACCGAGGCAGACAAAAGATTTTGCCAGCATCTAGTCACTGCACTATGGTGACTCCTTCTACCTCCAGAACACGAGGTAAACAGTTCAGCCACGGCGCCACGAGATAACCATGGAATTAACTGGTACTTCCAGAGCACTGAGATGGGTAGCAGAACAAGCGGTCATACATGTGACCATCGTCTCAGACTCTATGAACACGCTTGAGACAACTGCAGTACGCAGTCTACGTCCTGAATGGGTAGACAGCAGTGGGAAGTCGCAGTTAACCTCCATCCATGGATCTACACAGCTGGATACACAGAAGCAAAGGGAAATGAAAGAGCCGACCAGCTAGCGTGTAAGAGGCCAATGAAAACGGGAAGAAGCATGTACAGAGCTGATATAAACGGTGTACGGACAAGGGGAGGGGGGAATAGTGATGAGTCGCTGACGCTAATAAGTCTGCGTGATCGTAAAGTAAAGCTTGGTAAAGTACGTCTATGTCGTCTTTGAGGTCAACACAGGAGACACTATAACCAATTCCTCACGGGAACAATCAACAGAGGTACCTTTGCGTTGCTGCTGCATTAGAGGACAGCATGCATGGGAATGCCCAATATGCAGTGACGTCGAGTGTGATAAGTACCATAACTACGCGACGAAGGACATAAACTCTTCTTCTTCTTTTCTTTTTCTTCTAATTGGAATTCTTCTTCTTTCTTTTTCTTCTTCTTCTCCTCCAAACAACGTAATCGGCAGAACGAGTATGGCGTCTGCAACAACAATGATAATTAGCCACTTGA